GATTTTCAAACCGCTTGTATTCTCAGGTCCATGTTAGACAGGTACCCGAAGATCCTTTTGTGTGAAGTCGGAGTTCTCAGAAGACTCATTTTGTATTGTTCATATATACTATGTATTACTTGTATAACTTATGCTTTTGAAACAAATGTAAAACTTTCATATATGTAATGTAATGGTTGATTTACTTTACTTACTATGTACATTGGATTTGATACTCTACGTGAAGTCAACCCCGGAAATGTTTCCGCCTTCGGTTTTCGGGGTGTGACAACTAGGAATAGAGAAGGGTTGGGTTATCGAGTGCGAGTATATTCGAGAGAGTCCCTGATATTTTTTATGTTGTATTTCAGAGACATCATGGTTGGGACGTGCGACAGACCAGAGACCAGCGAGGGAGGTATGAGCGATGAGGAGCTCCGCCAGATGATTCATGACGAGATGGTTGCTGCCGTCCGAGCTGAGGTTCTAGAGATGTTCGGGTCTATTAAGACCACACTGATTGAGACCTTTGAGGACCGGTATACTGCTCTTACTGAGGCTGATGTTGTTGCGGCCACTACAGCTGTTGTTGCCGCTAGGCCACAGGTGGTGACTCGTTGCTGTATCGGGAGTTCAGCAACATGAAGCCACTAGAGTTTGACGTGACGCAGGACCCGATTGCTACGATGAGATGGATATCTGACATTGAGGGATGCTCCTACACCTGTTCGTGTCCAGAGCATCTGAGGGTTCGGTTTGCGTTGAACTAGCTTCGCTTGGGAACGAAGGATTGGTGGATGTCAGCGGTGACCTGGGAGAGGTTCACCACCATGTTCAAAGACAAGTACGTTCCCCTGGTGGAAAGGGAACGATTGGCCCAGGAGTTCTTGACCCTTAAGCAGGGTACGAAGTCAGTTACTATGATTACCAGGATGTTTCATGAGAAAGCGATGTTCTGCCCTGAGCACGTGTCGACCGAGCAGGCACGCATGAGCCGATATCTGAGTGTTCTAAGGAGATACATTTGTGAGTTCGCGGCGAACTCATCATACCGTACATTTGCTGAGCTCCATGAAAATGCCCGAAAGAGGGAGATTGAGCTGGAGACTCAGGCTAGGGAGGAGGCTGAGTCTCAGAGCAGGGATCGCCATCTGGCACAATCTCAGCCGACGACCAAATGAGGAAAGCCCGCTGATTCGAGATCTGGGGGACAGAAGGGCCGCACTTGCGGGAATTGAGGAAAGGGTCATGAGGGGGTTTGTAGGTCTGGTTCTTGCTACAAGTGTGGCAAGGAGGGGTTATCGCCAAGGATTGCCCCAAGGGGTTCATGGTTTGCTTTCATTACAACCAGACCGGACATTAAAAGGCTGAGTGTCCGCAGTTGAGGGGGAAAGCATAGGGGACACCGCATGGATCTTCCCTTGCTGGTACATGAGCTATTGAGGGTCGGCCGGTGAAGGCCGAGGCGCCAAAGGCGTGAGGGAGAGCGTTCCAGCTGACATCGGAGGAGGTCCGCGCAGCACCCGACGTCGTTGCTGGTATGTATTCTATTCATATTTATTTATGTTGTAATAAGATCTTGTGTTTATATTATGTTATGCATAGGTACTTTTCTTGTGAATTATGTACCCGCGTTGGTGTTATTTGACTCGGGTGCGAGTCGGTCTTTTGTGTCATTAGCATTCAGTAAGCACATCAGTATCAAGCGAGAGGTGATGAGTAGATCTTTGCTTGTTTCTATAGCTAACGAACGAACAGTGTATGCCACAGATGTGATTCGAGGGTGTGTACTTGAGATCTTCGGCGTTGGGTTTCCGATAGATCTGGTCCCGATTGCAATGGGGGACGTATGTGTTATTGTGGGTATGGATTGGTTGAGCCGATTTGGGGCAGTAATAGACTGCGAGTAGCAGCTGGTGATGATCCGAGATCCTAGTGGGGGAGTGCTAACAGTTTATGGTGAGGGGACTCGTAGTGGGTCAGCATTTTGTTCGGCTGCCAGGGCGAGGCAGAGTTTACAGCGGGGCTGCAAGGGGTTCGTAGCCTATGTGATGGATGCACGAGAGGCAACTAGGAGGCCAAGTTTGCTTGACAATGTCGCAATAGTGTGATAGTTCCCAGACGTATTTCCCAAGGAGTTGTCGGGTGTACCTCCCGAGAGGCAGGTGGAGTTTCGTATCGAATTGATTCTCGGGGCCGCGCTTATCACTAAGGCGCCTTATCATTTGGAAACGACGTAGATGCAGGAGTTATCCTCACAACTGTAGGAGCTGTTGGGGAAGGGGTTTATTCGTCCGAGTAGCTCGCCTTGGGGAGCATCGATCTTGTACGTTAAGAAGAATGATGGTTCACAACGGATGTGTATTGATTACCGAGAGTTGGACAAATTAACGGTTAAGAACCGTTATCCATTGCCGAGGATTGATGACTTATTTGATCAGCAGCAGGGGGCATCTTGGTTCTCCAAGATAGATCTGAGGTCTGGGTATCATCAGATGAGGGTGCGTGATGAGGATATCCAGAAGACGACGTTCAGGACGCGTTATGGGCACTATGAGTTCGTGGTGATGCCTTTCGGGCTCAATAATGCACCATCAACATTCATGGATCTCAAGAACAGAGTATGTAGCCCGATGTTGGATCGATCGGTGATCATGTTTATTGATGACATTCTAGTGTATTCTAGATCCCGAGAGCATCATTAGGAGAACTTGAGAAAGGTTAAGTCTTGGGGTGTTGAGATCGGATAGGCTTTATGCCAAATTCTCCAAGTGTGATTTCTGGCTATGGGAGGTCCAGTTCCTAGAGCATCTCATTAATTAGAATGAGATATTGGTTGATCCATCCAAGATTAAGGCAGTGATGAGTTCGGAAGTGCCAAAGTCCGCTACCGAGATCAGGAGTTTTCTAGGGTTGGCCGGTTATTATCGGAGATTCATTCAGGAGTTCTCTAACATTGTAGTTCCACTCACTAGGTTGACCAGGAAGGGTGTTTCATTCTCACGGGGTTCGGAGCAGCAGACCTCGTTTGAGACTCATCGCCAGAAGTTGTGAGAAGCCCCGGTGCTATTCCTTCCAGAGGCAGTTGATGATTTTGTGGTTTACTGTGATGCATCGATATCTAGGTTAGGCACAGTGCTTATGCAGAGGGGGCATGTGATAGCGTATGCATCGAGGAAATTGAAGCCTCATGAGGTGAGGTATCCCACTCATGATTTGGAGTTGGGGGCAGTAGTGTTCGCCCTTAAGATCTGGCGCCACTATTTGTATGGGGTCCGTTGTACCGTATTCACGGACCGCAAGAGTTTGAAGTATTTGATGGATCAACCCAACTTGAACATACGGCAGAGGAGATGGTTGGATGTGGTAAAGGATTATGATTGTGAGATCCTGTATCACCCGGGCAAGGTGAATGTGCACTACAAGAAATATACCATTTAATGATGCGCAAACAATGACACTCACTGATTTACGATATGCTTTTTCTGTGTGTCCTAAAAATATTGTTAGTTTTTAGAAATATGAAGGGTAGTGGACGCGTATTTTTGCGTACCCTGAAATTGGTGTCCAATAGAAAAAAAAATTACAAACACGGAGGGCACCTATGTTAAACGGGTATCGTGTAAGAATGTCGTTTTATATTTTTTTGGGTGAAATGCGCCTCCATCCTTTAATAAAAGGTGGGAAATGAAATCCTAAAAAATTCAAAACCCCGCTTGTTCTCCAATCCTCTCCCTTTCATCTTTTTGATGTTGATGTTATCAAAGTGATGCATCTCCTCCTTCGGATGTAAAATCCTCTATCAAAGAAACCCTATTAGCACTATGCAGTTATGAATCTTTCTCCCTTTCATATTTTTGGCGCTCTACAACCATGATACCAACTACAAACAACAATGAACCCTAGATCATATTCAATACTCATCCATCCCCCATTAACCACTTGCTACCAGCTATCACCATTTTTACGGACTCCAATCTCTGAATTAGGGTTTACTTTGGCGATAATTTCAACTTTTCTTACACCAGCATCCCAACTCTTCGGTTCTAAATCCCCCGCTGCTACTCTGCCTCTTTTCTTCGGGCTCTACCGCTCTTCGAAGCTCGACTCCACTTCACTCTTCATAACTCAATCACCCTTCCAAAATATCAATTCTCACATACGTCTCTCCTCTCCTTCTAAACGAACTTACACTCTTATAGTCGCCATGGACGGTACAGGGAAGGTATATAAACATGTTTTTTTTTTTTTTTTTTTTTGTCATTTTAGATATTTTTTATGTACTATCAGATCTATTGGTTGATATATCACAAACTTAATTTTTCTGCTTATAACATGATTTTGTATGGTTGTTGCCTTGAACAAGAATCGATTACTGATGCACACAAGGTGCTTGACATAATGTCTCTGTTAGGTGTTCACCCCGATGAGACCACTTTTGGCTATCTTGTCTATCTATATGCAACAAAAGAACTTGAGCACAAGATGATTGAACTACAAGACTTTGTATCTAGGTTCAATTTTCCCAATAAATCCATTTTTATTAGTAATATGATCAGGAGGTTATATGAAGCTTTCTGAAAAAAACACCGGTACGATATATCAACATCATTTGTAACCTCAATTTTTTTCACAAGACAAACTTTTTTGACTCTAAAAGTATTGGAGATCTGACTAGTCGGTTAGGATCAGATTGTCACGGGACACTATAACTAGATTGGATGAGAGTACTTCTTACTATTGGTGGTGGGAACTGGGAAGTTCCATCCTTAGCATCAATGTTTGATTCTGCGATTCTTAATGCATTTGTTTGTATCGTTTATAATTAGTAATCCTGCTCTTTACACTTGCTGAGTCTTATGAACTACCAATTTTGACATTAGGTAAATTTTAAGAACAGACCATGAATATGTGTCTTATGTATTGTATACGATTGTGATGTTTTTATTCATGATTTGTTTATGAATGTAGGGTGTGATCGAATGTTCTTCAGCGAGATAATGAAAGAAGATTCTGATATAATGGGGTGTATTAGCTCTAGAGTCAGACATCTTGGCCATCTTAATTGCAAAACTCGTATGCCGAGACAGTTACTACCCTTGCTTCAATGTTTCAAAAATGATCAACAAGCACTTGTACTAGAAGGGAAGATGTTAATCAAATATGTTATCATGAATGCTATAACTCTTAGGAAAATTCTTAAGAAATACGACAAAGTAAGCAAATATCCTATTCTTTCTTTAGATTGCTATGTTTTCTTTTCTTTTTGGATTGACGTGTTGCGATTATCATTTATGTTTGTTTTTCAGGTGCACAACTCTATAAGTGGTGTGAACTTCAGGTCTAAGCTTCAGGCTGAACACTTGGAGATCTTACAATCACCATGGTTGATTGAATTGGTGGCTTTTTATATGAATTTCAGTGAATCAAATGAAATGATATGCTATGAGCTTTGTAGTTATTTCTCTTGTGATCTGAGCGTTATGATTTCAAAACTTGTATTGAAATTGGTGCTTCCAGATTATGTAGTTTTGGAATACAGTCTAACTTGTGCTCTTTGCTTGGTATGACTGACTATATATCGAAATTATGAAAAGTTCATAGCTTAAGTTTACACAAATTGTAAAACGCTTTTACTCTTGATCCTCAGCTACTGTTTTTCATCCATAAGCGTTGAGCCGTGGACATATCTTTTGCACGATGTGTGCTTGTTCATCGGGATTTGTTTTGATGTTTGAAGGGGTGAAATCTGCAAGCCAAAGATGAAGTATTTGGTAATGCAGGACGCATAACTGAACTATATTTACTTCTAAAACGATGGTAAACAAGCAACGTGTTTTATTGCAATAAACTCTTGACATATTTTTATTTTAAATAAATCTTACTGAGCATTAATGTGGCATTTGTAGGTTTATAAAAGAATGCGAGGAAAGACTTACTGAACATTGATGTGGCCGAGGGTAATTATGTCAATGCAATAGATGGTTTGAATAATAATAATAATAATACCTGAAGTAGGATGAATGTGATTTTATACTGAGCACTAATTGTGGCTTGTGCCTTTACATCAGCTCCACGAGAATTGTCATTTGCTAATGCAAGAAAAGCTTCATCAAAACAAGATAATGCATCTGGTAGTTGATTATGTTCAAGATGCACTAGCCTAGTCTTGAAACAAATTGAAGCACCAGCCCCACGTGGAACCTATTATTTATCAAAACAATTTTAATAATGCATATTCTTTTTCATTTAGTTACATTTTTGGTCCATCAATCTACCTCATTTTTGCAATTCACGTCCCCAAAAGGTTTTTATTGCATTTTTCATCCTTATTTGACTATTTTTTGGTCCCTGAGTACAACAGATTTTTACAACTTTGCTCCAAAAAACAGCATATTTTACTTAGAAACCAAAAGGACCAAAATTGTAAGAGACAAAAGTTCAAGACCAAAACTGTAATCTACTTATTTATATGATAAAAAATTTTAAAAAGGAAAACTTATCTACCTATCCAAGTTGCACAGATGTTGGAGGAGGAGGCTCAGAAGGTTTCACTACATTCACAGCTCCCAAACCTTCAAGGGAGCTTAAATCAAGTGGTTGGGTCAACGTCGGAGCGTTGACCAACGCCTGAAGTGGCGGCATGGCAACAGGTGGAGGAGCCATGGATTATGGCGGCACACCGCCATCCGGAAGTCCAAACGACTCTATAGAAACCGAAACATTCACAGGCACTTGAGGAATTTCACTAGCTGGACCCACCGATGGTCTCCCTTGAGGATTCTGATCGTATTGCGAAAGATAAGTGCCAGGTGGCGGCAACGCAGCCGCCACCTGTAACGACGGAATAGTATTCTGAAAAAAATCCTCCGGAATTGGTCGCGGTCCCACCGCCGCTTCGGTTTCCACTGCCGGACGGCCCGCCGGAGACATTCACAGTCTATTCGTGAGGTACATTTAAATCAAAATCATTTTAGTCTATTTATAATTTTTGTATAAAGTTTTAAACTTCTTTTCATGATATTATATATATATATATATATATATATATAATAATAATAATAATAATAATAATAATAATAATAATAATAATAATAGGCAACAATTGTGGGATTCCGATCTGGCAAGTTTATGACACTAGTGGCCACGGATGTTGCAGCAAGAGGACTTGACATTAATGAAGTTCAATTAATCATCTAGGTACATTACTTTCAAATCAATTATATATCACAGTTTATTTTTTTTCTTGTTCTTGCTGAAATTACGATTCTACCCCTTTAGTCCGAACCACCGCGTGATGTTGAAGACTACATTCACCGATCTGGGACGACAGGAAGGGCGGGAAATTCGGGTGTTGCAATTACACTTTATGAGCCTAGAAAGTCAAATATTTCAAAATTAGAGAGGGAGGCAAGTGTGAAATTTGAACACATATCTGCCCCTCAACATACTGATATTGCTAAAGTTGTTGGTGGTGATGCTGCAGAAGTTATAATTCAAGTTGTTGATTGGTATAGTACATTGGTAGTGATTTTAGGATTATAACCTTGACTTATTAAATAACATGGTTTATTTTTTTTTTTCAGTGTGATCCCTGTTTTCAAGTCGGCTGTTGAAGAGTTGTTAAACAATTTCAGCCTAGCACCAGTACAGCTTCTTGCAAAGGCACGTGCCAAGAGCATTGTGAGTCTTTATATTTTTTGTATTTTAAAATTTGATTTTATATTTTTTTTATTTATTGTATTATGGTTTATTTTTTTTACAGAGGTATACTGAAATCAAGCACATGTCACTCGTATCATATATGGAAAATAACATCACATTGCATCTTGAGGCTAGAAGACCTGTTTACACACCTTCGTAAGATTTATATATATTTGATGAATAATAACTCAACGTTTTGAAAATTGTATATGATTAGAAATAATGAAATGTTGGGAGTTAATTATATTTTAACCAGTAATAGGCCCAAGCCAAACTTTTATCGTCCAACCTCTAATAATCAATTATGGGCTGTATATGTCTATGATCAAAAAAATTAGTAAAAAGCTTGCTTCTGTTATCTCAAAGTCAAAAACACTATTTTTGTCATTACCATTCATCAAAAGCTGAAATTTTAATTGTTGACTAGTATTCAAAGTCCAAGTTTAGCTCTTTCCTTTTCATTATTCTCTTGTTTTCCCTGAATTGCATATTATCTTTACTTGTTTTCATAAGTTTGAATGTTTTTTATTATGTTGTGTTTAGTCTTGAGAAGGATTATGGAATGAAATATAATCCATATGAAGCAGGTGTTGATGTTTTCTTGTTTGGATACGTTTTTCACTTGAAGATTTTACATAAGAGAGGCCTAAACTTGTTTAATGGACAATGTAAGAAAATCTTGTCATTTTCATTTTGAAATTCAATTAAAGGTTAAAAATAAGAACAAGGTAGAAATATAATGATTTGTATTTTGTCTTAATGCAGCTGAAAGTTATCAAGTAAAGAGAGTTTCCTCAATGGTAGCAAGGAAAGAATTAAGAATGTTGAAGCTGGTGAGTGGATTTTCTATAAAAAAAATCTAAGTATTATATATTACAATTTTATCTAAATGCTTTAAATTATAAGAATAAATAGTAATTAAAAAATTATAATATGTTGTCATATGCTGCAAGAGATGTTGGAGCTCTTAGAGAAGCTAAGGACAAACTCGAGAAGTGAGTTGAAGAGCTGACATGGAGATTAGACTTTGAAAAACATTTGAGAGTATATTTTTTTTTTTATATTTCTTGTATCTAATTAGTTTGTAAAATTTTGTTACAACTTCTATTGATTTGTTTTATCTTTCCATGTAACGATTATTTGTATGACATTAAATTTATGAAATGGATTGTATTTTTTATATATGATATTTTATTTACTATTATGAGACATTAAATACAAATTTAATTTGAAAATAAGTAAATCTATAAATAATATTTTTTTTAAACATTTAAAAGTTATGATACACAAAAATGTGTGTCATCATCATTTATGACACGACCTTTCTTGACAGTGCCTTTCTTGATACGCATTGTGTGTCATTAACACGCGTGTCGTAAGGTTACCACACGCGAATGTGTGTCGTCTTCCTTTATGATAGGGTGTTCCTTGATACGCATTGCGTGTCGTAAACGCGCGTCGTAATTGTGCGTCGTAAATGAGCATCATCTCTATTTATGACAGGGTCTTCCTTGACGCGCATTTGCGCGTCGTATGAGCCTTTTACGACGCGCAATGAGCATCGTAAAAGGCTGTTTTTCTAGTAGTGGTGGTAGCTGATGCCTTGAGTCGAAGGGCAGAGAGTGCCCCGATCCGAGGTATGTGTATGAGGATGACTATGATGACTCCGGTGTTGGATCCCTTCCGAGAGGCTCAGACTGAGGCAGTGAGGCCGGAGAACCATAAGAAAAAGCGGGTGATTGGGCAAGTATCTGAGTTTGTGACTGATAGCCGAGGGATTATGACATTTCAGGGTCGTATTTGGGTGCCGTTTATTGGTAGGGCACGTATCATCTTGATGGAGGAGGCACATCGATCGAGGTTCTCGATCCATCCCGGGGCTACCAAGATGTACGTGGATCTGAAGAAAGATTATTGGTGGCCATGCATGAAGAGGGATGTAGCGTGGGTTGTAGAGAGGTGCTTGACCTGTCATTAGGTTAAGGTTGAGCACCAGCGTCCGCATGGTAAAATTGCAGCCACTTGAGGTTCCCCAGTTGAAGTGGGAATAGATCTCTATGGATTTCATCACCAGGTTACCCAGAACTCCAAGGGGTGTCGATGCGATTTGGGTGATAGTGTATCGACTGACAAAGAGTTCCCACTTTCTTTCTATCAGTAAGAGCTCTTCTACGGAGAAGTTGGCAGAGATGTATGTGAGGGAGATAATGTCTCGACATGGGATATCAATTTCGATTGTGTTGGATCAGGATGTACATTTTACTTCTAGGTTCTGGAACAAGTTTCATGAGGAGTTGGGTACGAGATTGCATTTCAGCACTGGCTATCACCCTCAGACCGATGGTCAGAGTGAGCGGACTATTCAGACTCTTGAGAATATGCTTCGTGCATGTGTATTGGGTTTTAGCGGGAGTTGGGACACGTACCTGCCCTTGGCTGAGTTCTCATATAACAACAACTATCATTCGTGCATCGATATACCTCCTTTTGAGTTGTTATATGGTAGTAGGTGTCGGAATCCCATTTGCTAGAGAGAAGTAGGGCAGCGGATGATGGGTAGCACAGAGATAGTACTTCAGACCATCAAGCAGATTCAGCAGGTCAGACAGAGGTTGATGATAGCCCGGAGTCGTCAGAAGAGTTATGTGGATAGATGATGGTCAGAGCTCGAGTTTCAAGTGGGTGATTTTGTTCTCCTAAAAGTCTCAACTTGGAAAGGTGTGATCCGATTCTGTAAGAGAGGCAAGTTGGGGCCTCGGTATCTTGGTCCTTTCAGGGTGACTGCCAGGGTGCGCAGGGTAGCATATCGTTTGGAGCTACGTGCGGAGGTGAGTCAGATTCAAGATACCTTCCACGTATCTCAGTTGAGGAACTGTATCGCCGATGAGTCGGCAGTGGTTCCATTAGAGGACATTCAGGTGGATGCAAGCCTGAACTATGTTGAGAGGCCGATCGCGATTCGGGATAGGAGGATCAAAGTTTTGAGAATCAAGGAGGTGTCATTGGTTTAGGTCTAGTGGCAACATCGAGAGGGGTCCAAGCTGACTTGGGAGCCAGAGTTAGAGATGCGAGAGTAGTATCCAGAGTTATTTGCTGAGCGAGACTTCGAGGGAGAAGTCTGATTCAAATGGGGGAGAATTGTAACACCGAGTTTCCCAGGTATATTAATTTATGTTGCAATTCTTTATTTATGTAGGGTGACTCGATGAGTTGGTACTTAGACTCATCGAGTATGGCCGCGACTGGATGATGTGGTTAATGACGGAACTCGACGAGTCAGGGGAGTGACTCGCCGAGTAAAGAGATGATGAAAGAAGCCCTTCTCGGGTTTGGGACCTATTTAAAGGCCCTTATGGCCTTCATTTGCGGCTACCAGTCCATAGAGAGAAACCCTAGAGTGCTTGATCGTTTTGAGAGAGAAAGGAAATCATTCTTGACCTTTGTGGTGTTGTTTAGCAAGAAGAAGGAGGTCCTAGCCAAGAGGAAGCAAAGGAGGTTGCAATTCTGTGGATTTGAAGCTAAGATCATTGCATTTGAGGAATTAAATTCGGCTCATCTTATATTTTATGAAGTACATATGGATTTAGGGTTTCTTATGGTTAGGTTGATTTGATGTCCAATTGTCCTTTTCTGGTGATGAGGCTTTGGATCTGGATCCATAGAGGTCCAGAGAGCCTCACTCATCAAGCTTTATAGAGAGCAATGGTGGTTTTGGCCTTGGGTTGTGGTATTTGGGGCTAAATCATCATATATGGCCATATAATTGTTGCATGTACATCAAGATAGAGAGTTTCCATGATTATTGAGCTTGGGAAAGTTAGATCTAAGGATTAGAGGAATAGATCTACCTCAGAAGGTCGTTTGAGGTTGTTCATGAAACGAACTCGTTGAGTTCATGAGCAGACTCGACAAGTCAGAGCGGGTTATCCCGTGATTCAGATTAGTGCATGACTCACCGAGTTGGGTGAGTGACTCGGCGAGTCATAAGGTATTCAAAGGACTCGAGTTCACGTATGGACTCGACGAGTCTATGCAAGACTCGACGAGTCGGGTCAAAGGTTGACCGTTGACTAGCATTGACCGGGGTTGACTAGAGTTGACTTAATAGAGTTAGTCAAACTAAGTCAGGAAGGTATTAATTAGAGATGTACTAATGATATAAGAGGTGATACATCGGGGAATCGAGCTCGAGTGATTATCCGACATCAGCGAGGTGAGTCTTCTCACTATGCCATACCCGATGGGGTAACTAGGTGTGACCGGAAGGTCTTATTTGTATGTTGTTTATGTGATGCATGTTATATATGTGATATGTTACAATATGAGTATGATGATATGGACCAGAAGGTCAACCGAGTATGGGCCATAAGGTCAACAGTGTTACGGGATGGAAATCCGCTGAGACACTTGGATCGGAAGATCCTATAGAGTTATGGCCTAGGTTTGGATCGGAAGATCCTGTGTTGTATGTGGTATTTTGGGGAACTCACTAAGCATTTATGCTTACCGTTTGTGGGTTATGTGTTTCAGGTACCAGTGATGATCACGGGAAGGCGCCGAGATGATCAGTACACACTTGCAAATGACATGTTTCTTTTTGAGATCTTGGGATATGGATTTTGTATTGTGTTTTATTTTTGGTGAAAATATTGGATATATGATTTTGGGATGATTTGGAAATGAAATGTTTTATTGAAATTAAATGGAAAATTGTTTGAAATTTTAACGGTGTTACGGTGTTCTGAAGCGTTAGCCCTTTCTCTATTTTCCAATTCAGTGTTTGGATACATGGAAGTTGCGCATTGGGTAAAATGAAG